TACCAGAGAAGATCCCAGCCACCACAGAAGCAGTTCCAATCCAAGCAGCCAAAGACTCGCTAATCCCGAATGGTCGAACAGCTAAAGCTAACAACCCAAGCCACCCAAAGTAGATCCCAAAACTAATGCCAAAAAGAAACCCCAGATAAAGAAAACGGTAATCAGATATCAAAGTCTTGAATTCTTGTTTAGGTTCGTGTACCCTGTTGCTTGATGTCGCACAGGGAGGCAAAGGTGGCTCGTCGGGAAAATACACCAACACACAGACCAATAAAAGTGCACTTATACCTAACTGAATGCCCATGTACTCAGATAGGTTCGTGGTCATTTCGTCTATGTCGTATACCGTGTGGTTAGTGACAATGCTTTTCTGTATTGATGAAGGTATTGTCTCTACTCGCACCATGTTTGGACCAACTATAAAACCTAAAGCAAGACCAAAGTATGCCACTAGTGTTGAGATAGCTGTTGCAGTTGTACGCTCTTTTGGAGGGAACCACGTTGCGGAGATCGATGGAGGTGCTCCTAGTCCGACAGGAATGCTCAACATAGAGATGCATTGACCAGTGTTTAACAGGATGGTTCTTGCTAGTGGATCACTGGATGGAATAACTTGGAATACTTTGCCAGCAGTCAGTAGGAAAGCGCATGATATGACTGAAGCTCTCAGACCTGGCACGAGGAACAACGAAATAAATAAGTTATTTTGAACGGGGCTTATATCATGCAAGGGTGATTACAGCAGCTTAGTCCTGTTGTCTCGTGTTCTATTCCTATTGGGACATTCTTTTTACACGCTAAACTTCGTATACATGGAAAACTTCGTATATACATACTAAACTTCGTATACTTGCTACACTTCGTATACGTGACATGCTAAACTTCGTATACATGCTAAACTTCGTATATACATACTAAACTTCGTATACTTGCTACACTTCGTATATGTGACATGCTAAACGACACGGCTTAAAAACGTGTGCGCATGCGCGAAAATCCGAAAATTAAAATGGCGGACGCTATCGCAGAATTTGTGCTTCAAAAACCTGCGACTTTGAATAATTTTTACAGCTTACTGGCAACCAAAATATCTAATTGATCAGTCACACTGTAATTCAAAAAGTACTTAGAGGGTGGCAGTGATGTTTAGAATGAGGTCAACATGATGGTTATCGAGATACGCTAAATTACTTTTTGGTACAAAAGTCGACAATTGTGAAACAAATTATTGTAGGTCATGTTTACGTTTTAGTCAAAAATAAGGTCGGATCAACAGAGATAAGCTTAAAATTATGATATTTTTAATCATTAATATCTGTTGTAAGTAACTGCAAATGGCCATTGAATTTGAAGTTCTGCCGTGCTAGATTTTCCCTTTCAAAATAATAAAATATTCGAAGTTAGACATATTAATAGTACAATCAACTATTGCTTATTCAACTGGGACAATTGTAATCTATATTAGATTTTATCATAAATTTATTTCATTGGAATTCTTCAGATGTAGTTATTAGTACTTGAAAAATAAAGTTCTTGGTGATAAAACGTACTCGTGGACAAGGAGACACCTGTTTCGAAGAGCT